GAACAAACACAACCTAACAATGGACAAAAGTATATTTATAAATTTACATTAACCAAGATGTGCAAAAAATATATTCATTTATCCATGATAATTAATTTAGAATTAAATACGCATTATATGTGCAAATGGTTATGTATACAACTCTATTGTAAAGTGTTACTAATCACAAAATCATAATCCTCATCATAACCCCCTGAAGGTCACTGTGTAATCTGAATGCTGATCTAAACCTAACCTGCTTATCATCTGGTGTATTTGGCAGATTTAGTGTTATAGAAGCACAAAACACACACATATAGTCCCTCTTTGGTCCTCCTCCCGCCATCTCTTCCATAGGCTCCTATAGGCTTCTATCGCCCCTCACCCCCTGCAGTTGGCAGCATCTATGGGCCCAGAGAAGGAGGGTGTCAGTGCCAGGTCTCTAGATCCCACTCCGGCCCACCCTCCTATACCACCTCCATCTCTCTCAGCACACTTCACTCATTTATTCATGTTCATAGGGACAGCTTTCATTTGATCTATTACTTAGGCGGGGGGGGTTTGCAGACTGCTGTGCGGCTCCATCCCTGCTGGATCTTTAATTATTGCAGAGAGGGTTTTCTCTGTCTTGTTCTTTGTTGTGCTAATGAAATATTGAAGTGGCCGATGTAGATTTTGTGGGGCCTGCTGGGGAGGATGGTGGCTTACCCTTCCACTCTGCACAGACCTTGTGCACTCTGACCTGATTTTTCATATTTCAAAAGCACATATGATCAAATGTTTGTTTAAAGAGTTCATGCATTCAGCTTTGTTTTTATGTCTGATTACTGTAAGACTCGCTACACTCCTCATTTGTAAATCACTTTAGATTAAAGCATTTGGTTAAAGAAGTGATTTTTCTATAAATAGTTTAGACTGAAATGAAAAATTAAGGTTGTGATGTAGTTTTGCTTGTAGGGTGTTGAATATATATATATATACAATATATCAAGTGTACTAAAATGAACTTACTTTGTATGTTAGAAATAATGCTAATTTATTAACAGGTTACAATATAGTGAAGGTTGTATCCATAGGTCTAAAGGCATTTAAAGAAATTATTAACTTCTATTCATAAACATTTTAACTTTGTTTCTTGTAATTGCAACTTTATCCCTCAGATGCAAATTTATTTCTTCTAAGTGCAACTTTATATCTCACAACTGTGATTTTATTATTATTATTATTATTTTAAACTTACAATTGTACTCTCATTAAAGGGGTCATATGATGCGATTTCATTTTTTCCTTTCTCTTTAGAGTGTTACAAGCTCTTGGTGCATAAAGAAGATCTGTAAAGTTGCAAAGACTAAAGTCTCAAATCCAAAGAGATATTCTTTATAAAAGTTAAGAGT